ATTTGAATCTGTCAACGACGAACTAAGAAATTCAATCTCTTTTTACAAAGAAACTGACTGTTACACGTTAAACTGAAATGTAAAATTTCAGTGATGAACAAAATACAAGACTATTAAGTTACGATTCTTTATTAATTCGCTTTATACTAACTTGGTTTGACATGGTCTGATGGTTAGGGCGCTCGAATCGCCATCTACAGGTTCGAATCCCGTCACCGAACATGCTTCCTCTTTCAGCCGTGGGGGGCGTTATAATGTTACGGTCAATCCCACTATTTGTTGGTAAAAAAGGTACCCCAAGGGTTGGCGGTGGATGATGTTGACTAGCTGTCCACCCTCTGGTCTTTTACCCCCTAAATTAGGGACGGCTAGCGCAGATATCCCTCGTGTACCTGTGCGCGAAATTAATAAAAATAACTATATATATAAAATATATTAATTTAAAGTAGAATTTCTTTTAGTAAATATAAAATATAAATATACTCTTGGATATGATTTTGAAAAACCGGTACAGTTTCTCGGATATTGAACTTTATTAGTCTGAATGAAATAGCTGAAAAATGCTTCTGTCTCGCTGTTATATAAACTGATTACAATGGAGTACGAAACGCACACATTACTCCCACTGACATCTCTACTTATAAACACACCTGTATTATGTATCAACTTGCATATTTACACACGGTATATACATATACACATGTACATGAAACAAGCAAAACTAATGGTGACTAACTTTACAACCAATCATCAGTTACCCACTTCATAAACAATAATCCACACACGTGGGGGTAAGTAACAAATAAAGGAGCCCCCCCTCGTAAAGAAAAGTTAAGTTAAAGTATGGTTAAGGGCAAAATAATTATGAATTATGCTTTTTGTGTATTATGACAAAAGCTAATTTTTTTTATTACTCCGAACAACGTATTTTTATTACTCCAAACAACGTATTTTCACTCCATCTTACTCTTTTAAGATGCAAGAACTTATAGCTCAAAACTCCCAACTGTGCGGCCAAGGTTTGCACATTGGTGAAACTCTCTGTATGTGTAAAATGCACATTTCAACGTGCTTATTTTTTAGGAAATCTACCTTATATATATATATAGGCAAGATATGTACAAAAATATTTTAAAAAATAGAATACTTTGATGCAGAAATATGATTAAAATTAAAGAGGGAATTTGGTTGAAAATAATTTATTACATATGGGTAATTTTCTTTATTTTTTATAGTGAGATTAGCATCTTTTCTTGACCATGAAGCATAATAAGGTAGCGATGCTTCTGTGATTCGTAAAACAAGGTTTTAAAAAAACAACATACATCATTCTTGTGAGATAAGAAGTTGTCTATTCTTACAGTCTTGAGTTTGTAACTCATTTGGGTGCGTAACAACTCCAGTACAATGTTAAAATAACCATTGGTTGCTACATAAAACCAGCAACATTTGAATCATGGACAAGGAAACGTGTTTCACTTCAATTGGTTGATACCAATACTTGTTTATTTATTATTTCTTAGCTAACGGTGAGGGTAGCCAACTGATGACCGAGGGCTGAGTGGTCATAGAAGCTTTTGTAGTTAGCCCGTTGCTCGTAATTAAGACTATTTATTATTAATTCATAGTAATTATAATAGAATTTTTAGCAGCTCTTCCGATAGAAATTATTATATAATAAATGATAATTAGTTCCATTAACAATAACCTACGTGCTTAGAGCGAAACTGACAACCAACCTGGTCAACAGTATAGCTAATTAAATATACTTTTCTTAGGAATCTACTAATAAAGATTATAATGCATTGCTTCATCAGTTAGGCACCTTCGCTGTTAACAATATTTTTGGCCATAAACCCAATAATACCTCACGAGGTTCAGCCAACTTAGGAATTTTGGATTAGTGCTGATTGTATATATATATATATATTATTTAGTAGCATTATCTTATGTCCTATTTGCCTGATGATACTGAAATAATTCAGAGAAACGAAGCTACTAAACTCATCTTATCTTAACACTGAATTTTAGTCATGCTTAAGTTCCACGTGGGAGTATATTTAATTTTAAAAAAAATAATAAATTGACTAGTTCTTTCAACGTGTATTCGTAACCATAAACGTGTATGCGTTTCACACTTTGCTCTACAACAACGTGACTTGTAATTTCTATAAATAATTTTATACACCGAATAGTTTTGGTTTTTGAGAATTTTTGTTTGTTTTTGAATTTTGCTGAAAGCTACACGAGGGCTATCTGCATTAACCGTTCCTATTTTAGCAGTGAAAGACTAGAGGGAAAGCAGCTAGTCAATATCACCCACCGCCAACTCTCGAGCTATTCCTTTACCAACGAATAGTGGGATCGACCATTACATTATAACACCCCTAAAGCTGAAAGGGCAAGCATGTTCGGTGATATGGGTTTGAACCCGCGACCCGCAGATTGCGAGTCAAGCACTCTAACCCGCTAAGCCTTGGTGTCTGAGAACAACACGAGCTTATCTGTCCAAAGAAGTTAAATCAGGAAAGGACATAGGGGGGATATGTTAACCAGTACATCGGTGTTGGCATTTATTAGATTGGGTTAAACTTCGTGGAGTACTATTTCATTTGACAGGTTATAAACAGTATTTTTTCATATGAATATATCTCATTGTTTCTAGAATGTGTCACTTTCTTATTAGAAAGCACCTATAATAAGTGATCTAGAATGTGTCACTTTCTTAATAGAAAGCACCTATAATAAGTGATCTAGAATGTGTCACTTTCTTATTAGAAAGCACCTATAATAAGTGATCTAGAATGTGTCACTTTCTTATTAGAAAGCACCTATAATAAGTAATTTTTATTCCAGTTTGACA